ACTGATAACTTGCATCTGGTTGCTGGTATGCATATGACAGCCATGATCGAGATGGCACCTAATACAGGCTGTACATAGCTGTAGGACATAGCAAGAACTGCAGATGCTGGAGTCAGAGTCAATGTAGTGTGGAACAAAAACAAAGTTGCTGGAAAAGCTCAGCAGGTCTGGCAGTATCTGTGAAGGAGAAAACAGAGTTAACGTTTCAGGTCCAGTGACCCTTCCTCAGAACTTGAATCTGAGTATCACCAGATGAGATTTTCTGAATGGTATTCTCAATGCACAAAACTGACTGTGATACTGACCACTCCCTTGTGTGCACCTGGGTCAGGGTGAAACCCAAGACTTTTAGCATTCAGAATAAAAATGCTGTGGTCATGACAATGTCAACCACACTGCCTACCCATATAAAAATGAAATGTCCTCCCTCAATTTAATAGGTGTTCTGCAGCATTCCCCAATGAATGCAGAAGTGAAATAGAACAGACTTTGAGTCACCATCTACAATACTAGCATGGTGCCTCATGCTTTCCAAGCTATAGCAATTACTTTGATGAAGGCACTGAACATCGGGTTGCTAAATATGTTGATGGCATAAATATAGGTGGGGGAGAATAATGTGGGAAAAAGACCGGAAGAATAAAGAAGCAATGCGTTCATTAATAGCAAGAGATTGCAAAACTATGTAGAACTGAGGGATCCATATGTCATTGTAAATGAATCACAAAAAACCGCCTTGTTTAAAACTTTAAAGAAGCCTAACTGTTATTCAGCATTAATGGGTGCATTCTTCCACCCAGCTGGGAGATTGGTCCAAGCACCAATCCCTGCGGCATCCCACTAGTCACTGGCTGCCAGTTGGAAAATGAACCGTTTATTCCTATTCTTTGTTTCCTGTCTGCCAACCAGTTCTCTATACATGTTAGTACACTACCCCCAGTATCATGTGGTTTAATTTTACACACTGATCTCTCACATGGGATCTTATCAAAAGCCTTCTGAAAGCCCAAGTAAACCAGATTCACTGGCTCCCCTTATCAACTCAATTAGTTGCATCCTCAAAAAATTCTAGTTGATTTGTCAAGCATGATTTTCATTCATAATTCCGTATTGCATCTAGGCTGAGTTATATTCAAGGATGGGTTAGACAAACTTTTGATGGACAAGAGTCTCAATGAATATTGAGGGTAAGTAGGAAATTAGAGTTGAGGTCCCAATCAGATAAGCCATGATCTTATCATATGGCAGACAAGGATTGAGAGGCTGAATGGCCTGCTCTTGCTTTTAATTCATATATTCTTATGAATCACACACGTACCGCTAAGGTGAGGGAGAAAACCATTTGGCCTGCCATGTGTGCACAAGTTAACATCGCGTCAGTGATCAAGCTGTGCTCCTCATGATTTATAATGGCATGTGAGCCACAAAATAAGAGTAGCATCCACTTCCATGCCGAGGTCCCAACACATTGATTCGTGCAAAATTGGAAAGTTTGAATTAATGATGAACAATTCCCCTGCTCTCCTGAACTCTTCAGTAGACTTCACATAGTTCTGATTTAATAATCTTTAATGTTAGTCAAGAACTCTTAAATAATTAAACAACTGACCTCCTGGTCATACTCACTGAAACCCCCAACAACATGCCCTCAACCCTCTGACTACTCCACCAACTGTCTCCCAACCCGACCCAGTCTACCACACTATCAGCCTACCACTTGACCCTCCTAGCAGTTGACCCACCTGCCACTTTAGGCACTTACTCACCAAGTACCCACCCTATCATCAGACCCGTTCAGTGATTCATCCATCGCCCATTCACTACCATTCACACTGGACATTAAACTCATCTTACAGCAACTCGCATGATATAATGAGGCTTTGTCTTCTGCAATGATTCTCTTTGCTGCTCTCTGGTTGGCTTCTAGTGCTGAGTAATTCCTCTGCATCATAGATCAAGATGTCTGGCCTTTTTCATTGTAACTAGGCAAGTGGGCAGTTTTGTTTCTGATCAGAATCAGACTCAGCAGGTTGGAGATGCTAATTGGAAGATTTGGGCCAATACTTTAGAGGTTATTGTCAGTTTTTGGAAGACTAATTTTTTAAAGATAAGGTAATTAAAACATTAGTGTTTAGAAATTAGCAGAACACCTCAAACTGGTGACAGGATATCTGAGCAGCATTGTCCTGCTTTTGTTAGAGAGGTGAGTTAGTCTTGCTGAAAGATTTGGTTTTGAATTTAAAGGTTAATTAATCCAAATATTCATCAGACCTTTCAACTAACCTCTGTTAGTATAGAGGTAAGTGATTCAGGATGAAACCTTAGATCAAATTATGGGAATCTATGGGATTTTCCAGAAATTCTTTGGGATTGAAGGTGAAAGCACTTCAGATCAGAGGTATGAATTCACAAAGCAGAGGGAGAGCTTCGCTGAGAGTTGTGTCCACCTGTGCACCTGGAAAATAGAGTTATTAGAGATCAGGGTTTGTTAATCTTCAGTCACTGCACAGGAAATGTGAGTAAAGCTCAGGCTTAAGCTTAAAAGTCTCAGCTCTTACAAGGGAGCTGTGTAGAAAAGTTTGATATTATTCCCATGAAAGTGGGTGACTTTTAATAACCTGGAAAATAACTAAAATCTTTCTTGGGGAGGTCATTATTGAAGACTCAGACGTTCAGTTGGCAACTTTAGTTTAAAGTATTTTTTAAAAGATTTGTTCATAGGATGTGAGTAATACTGACCGGGCCAGCATTTATTGTCTATCGCTAATTATCCTTGAGGCAGCAGTGGTGAACTGCTTTGTTGAATCTGTTGCGAATACATTGTCCTTAAAATTAACCATATGAAGGAAGCAGGAAGAGATGTCAGTATTTGGACAATTTAGGAACGGGAGTAGGCCATTCAGCCCATCGGGCCTGTCCCGATATTCAACGTAAGCATGGCAGATCGAACACTTCAATGCCTTTTATGAGCTCGTCTCATTTGAAAATCTCAACTATTCTGTGGATGTCAATGTTTCAATTTCTTTGACAGGAAATTAGCTGGGCTAAGGGAAGTCTTCCCATTTTTACTCCGAGTTTGGATTCTTGGCTCGCCATGTTTTTCCTTTACGTTGTTTAAACATATATTATGTCTATAGAACAGTCTTGTCATTTGCGTATCATTAAAGGAATAGAATCCCTACACTGTGGAAACAGGCCCTTCGGCCCAACAAGTCCACACCAAACCTCAGAGCATACCACCCAGACCCATCCCCCTATAACCCACCTAATCTACACCTCCCTGAACACTATGGGCAATTTAGCATGGTCAATCCACCTAACCTGCAAATCTTTGGACTGTGGGAGGAAACCAGAGCAAACCCACGCAGACACGGGGAGAATGTGCAAACTCCGCACAGACAGTCACCTGAGGCTGGAATTGAACCTGGGTCCCTGGCACTGTGAGACAGCAGTGCTAACCACTGTGCCACTGTGCCACCATGCCACCCTAAATATATGTTGATTCTGTCTAGTAGCTCAATTTTACTACTTATTATGAGAAAAAATTTGCTTCTAATCATCGTATCATTTTCGAGTTAATTAGAAAATCACGGTGGCTGTTCTTTCTATTCTGGATCCTCGATTTACAAACGTCCAACCTATGAGCGTTTGTGCTTATGAACATAATCCCACACAGGAGTGTAATTTTAAAAATCTGGCATACTAACCTTTCCAAAAGGCTGCCTTATATTGTCTTGCATTTTTCCAACTTGCACACAAATTGATCTGAGAACAGAATCTGTTCTCAATCAGGAAAATGCCTGTATAACAATAAACAGAAATATAGCCACCAATTTGATGATTAAAGAAAACATTTGCACTTTTGCTACAGCTTGTGGAGTAGCACGGCTTGATACCCAGCATACCCCTTCTATTAGAGGTCTAACAAACTGCTGCAACCCTTTGGGTGTATGAACACTCTGTAATGAAGACACTTCGTGTTTAATATTGCTTGAAGTTTTGAAGAATGTGGAAAATTAGTTTATTTCAAATTTTGTGGATGTGCCTGGAGTTGTTTCTTTAAAAGAGATTAGAGAAAGATCAATATGATGTTGGAGTTTTTTTAACAAGGCTTCCTAGAAACCACATAACTGGTGATAACTGCTTGGTCCATGGTAGATCAGTGGTTAACACTGCTGCCTTACAACAGCAGGGACCTGGGTTTGATTCTAGCCCTCAGGCTATTGTCTGTATGGAGTTTGCACATTCTCTCTGTTTCTGTGTGGGTTTCCTCCCATAGTCCAAAAATGTACATATTAGGTGGATTGGCCCTGCTAAATTATCTCTTAGTGTCCAGAGGTGTGTAGGCTAGGTGGATTAGCCATAGCAAATGCAGGGTTATAGGGATAGAGTAGGATGCTCTTCAGAGGGTCAGTGCACACTTAATAGGCTGAATGACCCCTGTCTGCATGTAGAAATTCTATGAAATATAGTTGTAAAGTGGGAAATAGAAGGGAGTTCTTTTTTCTCATAGTGTGCTGAAAGTCTCTGGAATTCTCTTCCTTAAACAGTAGTGGAACCAGAGTCTTTGAATATTTTTATTGCAGAGATAGATAAATTTTAGATTAGTTTTGAAAAGTTATTAGGGTATAGGCAGGAATGTGGTGTAGCCAGATAAGCCATGAGCCTTTTTAATGATAGGCAGGTTCGAGGTGCTGAGTGACCTACCTTCCTTTCCAGTTTGTATGTTTGATATACTGGGACCTTATATCATTTCTCCAAATGTACTCTGCCTTGCCAAAATGACCTTAAGCTTTGTTTCAGTAAAGCTTCACACCATAGGACTAACATTCTTGGCAAAATCTTAGTCAGGAATGTATAAAAGGTTTGATTTGAGCGTCAGACAAGTAGAGCTCGCAAATGCTGTTCAGAATGAGAGACATAGTGACAGAAATCAAATTATTTGTGAATGACAGTTAAGAGTTTTAACAAGGTGTGGTTTGGTTGAATTTACACTCTAGATTCCAAGCGTGATTGTGAGGATATATTTAGAACAAGAGCCCGTGGGAGGATTACAAGAGATGATGATGTTATCTGCACTACAGAATATTCCCGGATTTTACCCCTTGAGAATGGCGAGGTAAGAGCTGGGCTGAAATCAAGAACACTGCTCATTGATGAGGTTAATAGTGGATGCTGAAAGTAAATTTTCCTTGTACAGACCCCTACTTGGTGAGAGTTAGTAGTTGTCTGCTTTCATCTGTTGTAACAAACAAATAAATCTATTGTTAACACTGCAGTTTATTGTATAATTGTATCAAAATTACTGAAATCTATTCTTTCAATTAACTAGTGATACAAAGGGAGATTTACTGGAGATGTTCATATTTATGACTTGATTTGAGTAAAGAGGAGAAACTGTCTCTCATGCAGATACAGATTTAAGATAATAAGCAAAACAGCCAGAGGGGAAAGTTCAGAAAATTTCTTTTTAACTGAGCAAGTTATTGTGAACTGGACACTGCCTGAAGGGCAGTGTCTGTCCAAACAGTAATAACTTTCAAAAGGAGTTGGATAACTACCTAGAAAGGATAGATGAGGGCAGAGAGATAGACATTGTCTACATGGACTATAGTAAAGCCTTTGACAAGGTTATGCATGGTAGACTGATTAGTAAAGTTAGATCACATTGGTTTCAGGGAGAGCTTGTCAATTGGATATAAAATCGACTTGATAGTAGGAGACAGAGAGTGATGGTGGAGGATTGTTAATTAGACTGGAGGCCTGTGACCAGAGGTCTTCCACAGGAATTGGTCCTGGGTCCACTGCTGTTTGTCATTTATAAAAACAATTTGGATGAGAATTCAGGAAGCATGGTTAGTAAGTTTTCAGATGACACCAAAATTGGTGGTCATAGTGAACAGTGAAGAAGGTTATCTAAGATTACAAAGGGATCTTGATTAATTTGGCCAATGGCTGAGGAGTGGCAGATGGAGTTTAATATGAGGTATTGCATTTTGGTAAAACAAACAAGGGCAGTACTTATACAGTTAATGGTAGTGTTCTGGGTAGTGTTGTTGAACAGAGAGACCTAGGGGTTCAGGTACATAGTTCTTTGAAAGTTGCATTACAGGTAGACAGGGTGGTTAAGACGTTTGGCTTCATTGCTCAGACCATTGAGTATAGGAGTTGGAATGTCATGTTGAGATTGTACAGGACATTGCTGAGGCCACTTTTGGAGTAGTGAATATAGGTCTGGTCACCCTGCTATAGGAAGGACATTATTAAATTGGAGAGAGTTCAGAAAGATTTACCAGGATGTTGCCGGGACTGGTGGGTTTGAGATATAAGGATAGGCTGCGACCTTTTTCACTGGAGCAAAGGAGGATGAGAAGTGACATTATAGAGGCTTAGAAAATTATGAGGGGCATAGCTACAGTGAATAGCAAAGGTCTTTTCCCCAGGTTGGGGGATTTCAAAACTAGGAGACATAATTTTAGGGTGAGAGGAGAAAAATTTTAAAGGGTACAGTTAGAACATTTAAAATACATTTGGACAGGTATATTCACAGGAAAGGTTTAGAGGGATATGGGCCAAATGCAGACAAGAGAGATTGGTTTGATTTGGGAAACTTGATCACCATGGTTGAGTTGGTCAAAAGGGTCTGTTTCCATGCTGTATGACTCTATGACTCTAGAAAAGAGCAGGAGAATTGGGATTAATTGATTGCTCTTCAGATGGGTATAATGGGCTGAATGTTCTCTGATTCTGCTTTGTGCATTAAAAATAACTTCTGCTTGATATACACAGAAAACTTGTACTATCTTCTAATGACAATATTGTCCTCAGATTGTTATATCTTTGGTGAATGGTCGTCCAGGATCCACAAACTTCAATGATTCTCCTGTCTTAAGAGAATTCACAAAGGCTACGAACATCCGACTACGATTTCTTAGGACCAACACCTTATTGGGTCATCTAATTTCTAAGACTCAAAAGGATCCCACAGTCACTCGAAGGGTAAGTGCAGTGTTGACTTAATACAGAGGCCAAACTTTGATTTGAGATTATAGGAACTTACATCATATATGGGCAAGATTTTTCCTGTGGTTCTTTCTGGAAAGTAAAATGAATGGAAGTAATGCTTAGTCAATAATTTTGTTTGTTTCTTTAGTATTACTACAGCATCAAGGACATCAGTGTTGGAGGCCGATGTGTTTGCAATGGGCATGCTGACAGGTGTCGCGCAAAGAGCCCAGAAAACCCATTCCAGTAAGTTATTTCTGGGGGTGGAGAATACTCCTCCTCCCACCCACCTTCCTGCAAAAATGCTATCCCCTATTCCCAATTCCTTTGCCTCCGCCGCATCTGCTCCCAGGATGAGGCATTCCACTCCCGTACATCTCAGTTGTCCTCGTTTTTCAAGGACCGTAACTTCCCCCCCTCAGTGGTCGAGCACGTCCTCAACCGTGTTTCCCACATCTCCCGCAACTCATCTCTCACACCCCGTCCATGCAATAAGAACCAAAAAAGAATCCCCCTCGTCCTCATGTACCACCCCACCAACCTCCGGATCCAACGCATCATCCTCCGACACTTCCGCCATCTGCAATCCGACCCCACCACCAAAGACATCTTTCCCTCCCCACATTTATCTGCTTTCCGGAGGGACCACTCTCTCCGTGACTCTCTTGTCTGCTCCACACTCCCCTCCAGCCCCACCACACCCGGCACTTTTCCCTGCAACCGCAGGAAGTGCTACACCTGCCCCCATACCTCTTCCCTCACCCCCATCCCAGGCCCCAAGAAGACTTTCCACATCAAGCAGATGTTCACCTGCACATTTGCCAATGTGGTATACTGCATCCGCTGTACCCGGTGTGGCTTCCTCTACATCGGGGAAACCAAGCGGAGGCTCGGGGACCGTTTTGCAGAACACCTACGCTCGGTTCGCACTAAACAACTGCACCTCCCAGTCGCGAACCATTTCAACTCCCCCTCCCATTCCTCAGACGACGTGTCCATCCTGGGCCTCCTGCAGTGCCACAACGATGCCATCCGAAGGTTGCAGGAACAGCATCTCATATTCCGCTTGGGAACCCTGCAGCCCAATGGTATCAATGTGGATTTCACAAGCTTCAAAATCTCCCCTCCCCCTACCGCATCCCAAAACCAGTCCAGCTCGTCCCCGCCTCCCTAACCTGTTCTTCCTCCCACCTATCCCCTCCTCCCACCTCAAGCCGCACCCCCATCTCCTACCGACCAACCTCATCCCGCCCCCTTGACCTGTCCGTCCTCCCTGGACTGACCTATCCCCTCCCTAACTCCCCACCTACACTCACCTTTACTGGCTCCATCCCTGCCTCTTCGACCTGTTTGTTTCCTCTCCACCTATCCTCTCCTCTATCCATCTTCTATCCGCCTCCCACTCTCCCCCTATTTATTTCAGAACCCCCTTCCCCTCCCCCTTTTCTGATGAAGGGTCTAGGCCCGAAACGTCAGCCTCTCTGCTCCTATGATGCTGCCTGGCCTGCTGTGTTCATCCAGCCCTGCACCTTGTTGTCCCAGTAAGTTATTTAATTTCTTAGCTGTAACTTGAAATTTTTCAACATTTTGAATGACGGTCGAAGTGTTGAAGTGATAAAAGTCAGTCCACATGGAAAATACCATTCAGAAATTCATTTCAGGTTGTTTGTTAAAAAAAATCAACACATAATAACATATTAGGATAGGTGACCAAAAGCGAGATAAAAGAAATGTTTTTAAGGTGAGTGTTAAAGGACGAGTGAGAGTGCAGAATTCTAGAGGAGGGAATTCCAAAGCTTCTGGCCAAACAGTTGAAAGCAGGGACACCAAAGGACAAATTCAAGTACTTTCAAAAGACTGGAAGTGAAGTGCAGAGATCTTGGAGGACTGTAGAGCCAGAGGTAGTTACAAACTTCGGATAGGTCGGGACAGCTAGCCTATGGAGGGGTTTGAAAAGAACAATAGCTTCATAGAATCGTAGAAAATAGGAGCCTTTCTAATCCTCTTAGAATTTTGTAACTTTCTATTGTTTTAAAGTCCATGAGTATAGACCTTACTGATCCAGACAATGGATCTATACTTCATATATTTAGATACCACCCCTAATATAATAAAATATCCCAAGGCATGTTTACAAGAACATTGTAATGCAGAATGTGACACCAAGCCACATCTTGAGATATTAATCATTCGGTAGCACAGAACCTGAGTACCACTGAAATAAGTGACACGATGTTGAAGCCTTTCATTTTGCACTTGTCAGGACTGATCGAAGAATGCCAAATGTCAAAGGGTGCAACCACGTACGCTGCCTTAGATTAGAGTGCTGATGATGGATTGGTGTGTTGACTCTGGTTTGTCAAGGCATTGCTAGGGAGCTATTGTCCCTCACAGTTTTGATTAATTCAAAAAAGGCATAAAATCTAGACATGTAGCTTTATTCCTGAAGAGGGTAGGTTGCTGCGTATGAACACTTGGAGCTTCAAGTATGTGTTATTAAGCCACATTAAAAGACAAACTGATAATCTTGAATTGATTGCTAGTGTATTTCTTAGCAGACTCAGGACTGTTGAAGAAGTGTGAATTCTTGAAGAAACTGAAATAACATTAGACATTAGTGAACAAATGATCAAATGAGAACATATACCACAGGAACAGGCCCTTTGGCCCTCCAAGCCTGTGCCAAGCATCATGCCCTAATTAATCTAAAAAACAAACCTGCCATTTTTTGATCCGTATCCCTCTATTCCCTCCCTATTCATGTACCCATCTAGGTGTCTCTTAAACGTCTTCAATGTGCCCACTTCCACCACCTCTTCTGGTAGTGCATTTCAGGCTGTTACCACTCTCTGCATGAAAAACTTCCCTTGCACATCTCCCTTAAACTTTCCCCCTCTGACCTGGAGCCTGTGCCCCCTTGTAATTGAAACTTCAACTCTAGAAAAAAGCCTCTGACTATCCACCCTATCTATGCCTCATAATTTTGTAGACCTCTATCAGGTTAGTTTAGGTTAGATGGGCTTCAGATTGGTTTCACAGGTCGGCGCAACATCGAGAGCCGAAGGGCCTGTACTGCGCTGTAATGTTCTATGTTCTATGTTCCTCTCAGCCGCCGTCTTTCCAGTGAGAACAATCCTAGTCTTTTCAACCTTTCCTCATAGTCAATGCCCTGGAGACCAGGCAACATCCTGGTGAACCTTCTCTGTACTCTCACCAAAGCTTCCACATCCTTCTGTGATGTGGTAACCAAAACTGCACACAGTACTCCAAATGTGGCCTAACAAGGGTTTTATATAGCTGCAACATATTTTGCCAACTCTTATATTCCATGCACTGGATGATGAAGGCAAGCATACAATATGCCTTCTTAATCACGTTGGCCATCTGTGTTGCCACTTTCAGGGAACTGTGGACCTGCATGCCCAGATCTGTCTGAATGTTAGTGTTCCTAAGAGTTCTGCCATTTACACTATAATTCACACCTAAATTTGATCCTTCAAAATGTATCACCTCGCATTTGTCTGGATTAAACTCCATCTGCCATTTCTGTGCCCAAGTCACCAATTTATCTATATCCTGCTGTATACTTGCACAATTGTTGGCACTATCAGCAACTCCACCAACCTTCGTGTGTCAGCAAATTTGCTTATCGAACCACCCACATTTTACATTCTGAGTTTTGGAATAAATGGACCATTTGACTATGTGAGGAATTCTAGGAGTCCCAATTTCTTAAAAAAAAATCTCCTCAGATGAAACCTCAGTGGCTGACCCTTTATTCTGAAGATGTGATGTTTCGTTCTAGATTGTCTACGTAGGAGAAACATCTTCTCGGAACCCATCCTGTGAAGCACTATAAGACATTTTATGCTTCACTAAGTTCTTTAAAAGTCCTCCCATCTCAAAGGAGTAGAAAAAGAGACTTATTTCAAATCAAACAGAGATGAGGCATCATTCATTTTTTCTGTGTCAGAAGTTTGAAGTTGTTCGGACATTTATATGATTTGTTGGCATTTTCCCATTGAATCATTCATTTTCTTATGAAAATCTAGAACAGGGGAGGTGATGGCCTAATGGTATTATCATGTTAATCCAGAGACCCAGATAATGTTCTGGGGACCCGGATTCAAATCCTGCCATGGCAGATGCTGGAATTTGAATTCAATAAATATCTGGAGTTAAGAATCTAATGATGACTGTGAATACATTGATGATTGTTGGGAAAAACCCATCTGGTTCACTAGTGTCCTTTAGGGAAGGAAACTGCCATCCTTACCTGGTCTGGCCTACATATGACTCCAGACCCACAGCAATGTGGTTGACTCTTAACTGCTCTCTGTGCAATTAGGGATGGGCAATAAATGCTGCCTAGCCAGTGACGCCCTCATCCCATGAATGCATAAATAAAGAAAAGTTATGTTGCTGTAACATAACACAGTCATTCAACCAAAAACCACTGCAGAAATTCATCAAAGATCCTTAGATGGCGCCTTCCAAACCCACCACCACTTCCATCTAGAAGGACAAGGGAACACCACCCCCTGCAAGTTCCCCTCCAAGCTACTCACCATCCTGACTTGAAAATGCATCATTGTTCTTTTAGCATTGTTGGGTCAAAATCCTGGAATTCCCTCCCTAACAGTGTTGTGGGTCTACCTACAGCACATGGACTGCAGCAGTTCAAGAAGGCAGCTCACCCCCACCCTCTCAAGGGGCAACTAGGGACGGGCAATAAATGCTGGTCCAGCCACAGTGACTCCCACATCCCATGAGTGAATAAAAAAAAGCCATATTGTGTATCATTGTTATAGCAATCTATCAGCAACATGTACCTGAAATTTAAAATACTGCCATGAATGTGTAATTTCATGTTTCATATGATTTAGAAATATAATTTTCATGTTTTGGAATTTGGGTTTTAAACATAAGATAACTGAGAAATGTCCTTAGTTTGGTTTGAGAAATTGTTAAGCAAAGTATAGAGTAATGTCAATTCAAAGAATAGTTCATATTTACTATTTTTGTATTTATTTGTTTTTGTTTATTCATGGAATGTGGGTGTTGCTGTGTGGACCAGCATTTATTGTCCATCCCTAATTACCCCTTGAGAAGGTGGTGGTGAGCTGCCTTCTTGAACCGCTGTAGTCCATGTGCTATAGGTAGACCCACAATGCCCTTAAGGAGGGAGTTCCAGAATTTTGACCCAGTGACACTGAAGGAATGGTGATACATTTCCATGTCTGTAATGGTGAGTGACTTTGTGGCGAAATTGCAGGTGGTCTTCCCATGTATTTCCTGCTCTGCCCTTCTCATTGGTAGAAATCATGGGTTTGGAAAGTGCTGTTGGAGGAAGCTTGATGAGTTACTGCAGTGCATCTTGTACATCGTACACATAGCTGCTACCCTGCATCAGTGGTGGAAAGAGTGAATGTTGAAGGTAGCAATGGGTTCTGATCAAACAGGCTGCTTTGTTTCTTGAGTGTCACTGGCACTGTGCACATCCATGCAAATGGAGAGTGTTCCATCAAAATGAAGAATAAGAGTTAACAGTGTCAAACAATAAGTAATAGTTAGTCCTTCTTTGAGTCTTAGAAGAGACTAGATGTCTAGAGTTATCTTCATAAGGAGTTTATTTATTGAAAATGAATGGTGAGCAAAGGGAAATTTAATGTATCAATCTAGTTTTCTGTTCAAATTACAGGTTTAAAATTGTAGTTAATTAGTGGAAAGTTATCATCTGGGACATCTCAGTTGTTCCAGATAATGCTAAACTAAAACAAAGGGTTTTTGGTGCTGTGACAGTGACCCTACCTTTGTGTCAGAAGTTCAAGTATCACCTGCTCCAGAGATATATAATAACATCTTTGAACAGGTTAATTAGAAAACAAAACAGAACACTAAAGGAGGCCATGTCACACAATCCCTACAATGTGAAAGCAGACCATTCAGCCTATCAAGTCCACACCAACCCTCTGAAAAACATCCCACCCAGACTTACCCTCCTACCCTAACCCTGCATTTCCCATAGCCAATCCATCTGACCTGCATACCTGACTGTTTGAGGAAACCCGAGCACCTGGAGGGGACCCATGCAGACAGGGGGAGAACGTGCAAACTCCACACAGACAGTCACCCAAGGGTGGAATCAAACCTGGGCAGTAGTGAGGCAGTAGTGTTAACCACAGAGCAACCATACCTGGCCCATCATTCTTCTGCCAGTCCTTTGACAAAGCTATCTGATTATTCTTGTTTTCCCTGTTATTTACATACAGCTCTGACAAGTTTCCCTCTTCCAGCGTATTTTTTTTTCAAAGTAAGCATTGAGGAGGTGGTAGTGTAGTAATAATATCACTAGATTAGTCATCCAGCATTCCAGGCACAGGTTCTGGGGGAATGGTCTCAAATCCCATTATGGCAGATGATGGACTTCGAATTCATTTTTTTTAAAATCTGGAGTTAAAATAAATGGCTAGTCTAATGGTGACCACTGTCAATTGTCATTAAAAACCAATCTGGTTCACTAATGCCCTTCAGGGAAGGAAATCTGCTGCCCTTACCTGGTCTGGCCTACATGTGACTTCAGACCCACAGCAATGTCATTGACTCTTAACTGCCCCCTGGGCAAATAAGAATGGTCAATAAATACTGGCCTAGTCAGCAATGCCCACATCCCATAAATGAATGAAAAAAGGAATTTACTTCCTTCACTGCTCTTCCAAGCTGTTCATTGCCATTCACAACAATCCATTGCAAAAAAGCATATCCTCATTATCTCTACTCCTGTTTTCTATCACTTATTTAACATTTAACAGTTGCCCTAAACCATTATTTTATAATTGTGAAATTGGGTAAAGGATGTTTACTCAGTAACTGTGTAATATATAAGTTGTCAAAATTTGTTGGCTCTAATTCAAGTCACTTGTATTGGTTGTCTCTGACTGTGTTACTAATGAATGTCGTAATGTTCAGGTTGCAGTGTGAGTGCCAGCACAACACATGTGGAATATCATGTGACCGGTGTTGCCCTGGATACAGTCAGAAACAATGGCAACCAGCTACTACTTCATCTGCAAATGAATGTGAATGTGAGTATTCATATCTATTTTATCTAAACAAAGGCTAAGGAATGTTCTTGCCCTCAGGGAGCAGATTCTTTTTAACAGACATGGGGAATTCTGCTGAGACATAATGATGGCATAGACATTGCATATGGTGGTGGAAATCCAGAGTCATCACAAAAGGTAAAGATTTTATCAAAGTACACAAAATCTTTTAATTTACCTGTCCTTTTGGATGCAGGTTGACAGAAAGCATGGACTGAGTTTCTATACTTAAGAAGGCTTATTACTTATTACAAATAAATAGGTTCCACCTACAGGTAAATACCCATAAACTATGGCTATAAAACTCTACTAGTTAAAACTCTATTTCTTTACAAAACTCCCCCAACACACACATACAAACAGACAGAAGAAAAAAAAATTGGTATTATGGGTGAAGGGAAAAACTGGGAAGGCAGTTCGATGGTCCCTGTCCACAAGCCTTATTTAGTGAATCTTTTTGGCTTGCAAGGACTTGCTGCACCTTGATCTCTCTTCTCCAGGTACTTTCACTTCCTTGCAGGAGGCACGGAGTGACTATTTCACAATGCATAAAGTCTCTGACTTATTCATTAAGAACACAACTGACAGCAAGTGAGGGAAAACAAACTGACTTTCTTCAGCAAAGGATACCACTCTGCTTCTGAAGGTCCGAAGGCTTCTATCTCATTCACACCCACACACTGGGAGCCAATAAACCAGTGGTTTCCCAGCATTTATTGAATTTCTGTTTCCAAATGAGTTTTTTTACTTGGTTCAACAGGATGCTGTTTTATCACTCCTGACACTACTATGTCCAAATTATGCCTGGCTAATGCACCACTTGAAACTTACAGAATACTGAATGGCCTGGACAGAGTGGATGTTGGGAAGATGCTCCCATTTGTAGGAGAGACTAGGACCCGAGAGCACAGCCTTAGAGAAAAGGGAAGACCTTTTAGAATGGAGATAAGGGGAAACTTCTTCAGCCAGAGAGTGGTGAATCTGTGGAATTCACTGCCACAGAAGGCTGTGGAGGCCAGGTCATTGAGAATATTCAAGACAGAGACAGATAGGTTCTTGATTGTCAAGGGGATCAAGGGTTATGGAGAGAAAGGGGGAGAATGGGGTTGAGGAACTTATCAGCCATGATTGAATGGCAGAGCAGACTCGATGGGATGAATGGCCTAATTTCTGCTCCTATGTCTTAATGTCTTATCTAAGTGCATCTCTACAGATTACAGTATACTTTCTAAATAGTTGTACGACATCCTCATGTTGTCCCGCCACCTCCAGCAGCATGCCATGACCAAACACATCTTTCCCTCCCCTTCATTCTCAGCATTCTGCAGGGGCTGTTCCCTCCAAGACACCCTTGTCTACACCTAAGAGATAGTAAGAACTGCCGATGCTGGAGTCAGAGATAACACAGTGTGAAACTGGAGGAACGCAGCAGGCCAGGCAGCATCAGAGGAACAGGAAAGCTGACATTTCAGGTCGGGACCTTTCTTCAGAAATAGGGGAGGGAGAAGGGAGCTCACCACCCTTCCCCACCTCCATCTGGCTTTCATAGGGACCACTCTCTCCACGACTGTCTCGTCTACTCCACACTCCCCAGTAGCCCCACCACCCCCGGCACCTTCTCCTGAAACCGCAGGAAGTGCTACACCTGCCCCTACACCTCCACCCTCATCTCCATCCAAGGCACAAAACAAACCTTCCACATCAGACGGACATTCACCTGCACATCTGCCAATGTTGTCTATTGCATCCACTGCTCCTGATGTGGTCTCCTCTACATCGGTGAGACCAAGGGGAGGCCTGGAGACCACTTTGTAGAGCATCTGTGCTCTGTTCGCAACAAACAACACCTTCCAGTCGCGAACCATTTCAATTCTCCCTCCTGCTCCCTGGACAACATGTCCATCCTGGGCCTCCTCCAGTGTCATAATGACGCCACCCACAAACTGGAGGAGCAGCACCTCATATTCTGCTTTGGGAGCCTACAGCCCAATGGCCTAAATGTGGTCTTTCCAGTTTCAAAATCTCCCCACCCCCAGCCTTATCCCGTGACCAACTCTCCCTCTCATCCCCAACTCCTTGACCTGACACAACCTGTCCATCTTCTCTCCCACCTATCCGTTCCTCCCACTTCACTGACCAATCCCCACCTCTACCTACCTGCACTCACCTATCGCAATCCCATCTACCTTTCCCGGCCCCACCCCCGCCTCTCTATTTATTTCTGAGCTCCCTTCCCCCTCCCCTATTTCTGAAGAAGGGTCCCGACCCAAAACATCAGCTTTCCTGCTCCTCTGATGCTGCCTGGCCTGCTGTGTTCCTCCAGGTCCACATTGTGTTATCTTGTCTACACCTAATGCTTCCTCACTCCCACTTTTCTGACCTAGGTCTTTTGTATGTTCCAATGAAGCTGAATGCAAGCTTGAGGAACAATGCCCCATTGTTCTTGACATCCCACCACCAGAGGAAATAGTTTCTCTATCTAGCGCTATTTGAAGTATTTAATTACCTTAAACACTTCAATTAAATTGTCCCTTAATCTGTTGTACTTGAGAGAATAAAGACATTGTCCATGTAACAGTCTTCCTAATTTAG